CTTTAAAAAAAAAAAAAAAGAAGAACCTCTGCTGTGAAGCCTCTCTATAATGCAATTTGAGGCTAATGCAGAAAGATCATTTAGCATGAAAAATACTTTTATTATTTGTATAGTATACCTCTACCTTGTTCTCATAAAAAAATTTTGAAGCAGACAATACTTTGGTACTTTCTCCTAAGCAAACCTCCCAGATTAGAGTTACAGACCAAAGAATTTTATGCTGAATTCGTATTAGATACGAATACCAGAATTCTTAATTTAGCAAACATTCCATTCTGTATTGAGTGCCTGCTTTATTCTATGTCACACACATGCAGTAGAGGTGGAAAACCATGGCTTATTTAAAAATCATGTGAATTTGGTTCAGTTGCGGAATGTCATAGGTCAGTATCACAGTGGCCTACCTCCATGGTCATGATAGAAGAAAAATGGGGGAACTTCGATTCCTTTTTCAAATGAATGGCTTAACACCTATCATTGATTTTAACAATGATACAGTACAGTTATAAATCCTAAGGGAGCAGTACTGTAATTCATGGGGTCACCTAGATGACCTAAAATATCTAATTATCCTTTGCCTCTTAGGATGGTGAAGATGATGAAGTAAGTGATGGAGAAAAGAAGCAAGATAGTGATGAGAGTGATGATGACTCCAACTAGACCACAGAGAGACGGATGCCCCTTCTCCATCTCTGCTAGCCTCTTCCCATTTTGTGTTCAGGGTTTGGAATCTGCGGTCTTACCTTCCTTACCGGAAGCATCCTGTTTTGTCATTAGGAGGGTGGGCTTTACTGAATCACCTTAATTGTGAATTTCACAGGTCATCTAACATCATCAAAGACCCTGGCTCAGGATTCCACTGTAGCGTTACTTACCAGTCTGGGCAAACATGGCAGTGCTTTGCTGTGGAATAGTCAACAATTCTGGGCTTTGAAAGCTAGTTTTGAAACTTAGAAATTTAGGATTGTACCAGTTTTACAAATAAATTCTGTTTTAAGTTTTGCCTCAACTACCTCATTCCTCTTTCTGAATGTCCTTCCTAAATCAAGGATTACATGGAATTCAGTTGGGGTTTATGCAGAGAAATAATGGCAACTGGTGCCAACACATCAGTTCTACCAATTAAAACCATGTTTCCTATTCTTTATTGAGATGAGAAGATCTTTGTGATATTTTTGGAGGAGTAACAAATTTCTGGTCAATGCCCAAAGAAAGTCCAAAAGGAAAATTCTGGCTGCTTTTTAAAAATTTTTTGGTCATGTAGATATAAGATAAAAAGGGAAAAGTCACCATCAAACTCATGTTGACTTTGTATATATGTTTATTTCCACATTATTCTGAGTTATACCTATAGACTTATTATAACAATTCTGCAGAATTACTAATAGTACACCAGCTAAAATGGGGAGCTCTCATGTGTTCTGCCAGAAAGCCCAGTTTCATTGCTGCTTCCAAGTTCTTTCTTGCCAGGCTATAAATAGTCTTTAATATTTGCTAATATTACTATCCACTTTTGTACTCTCCAGTGGTATTAGGATGTGGTTGGTTAAGATTTTTTTGTTGTTGATTTGGTGGGGGAGATTATTTGTTTTGTTTTTATAATTTTTTTTAATCCTTGACCCATCTATAGATTTTTGACCCCTTCATCCTCATGTACTTGGAAAGTCATAATCTCCTTCCTTGATACCCCTTTGTTTCCCCATCTCATTGTGGTCTTAGATGTTTAAGTGAGTTCACACTAGGCTCATTGGTTTATATGGTTTAATGGTTCTTTCTCACATGTACATGTCAACACTAGTTTGACTCTTTTAAATGTTGTTCAGCTTTACAATGGAAATGTTCTCCTTTGCTCTGTCACTGGCCTTTGGGGGGAGGGGGGAAGGAGGAAAGGGGTTCCTGAATTATCACTGCTTGACAGAAAAGCAAGATGGCTCAGATGTCAGTTTCTTTTACATGGACAGGTTTCTGTAAGCTTCAGGCACATAGTACAGGACATGGTATGAGGAACAGGAATCAGATGGGAACCCTTTACTTGGAGTGTTGCAAGGCAAAGGTGCACTTCTTATATGTTGCATACAGTAAGATGATAGAGCGCAGCATCTGTTTGCACATGGTCACTGTCATCTGAATCTGAGGTTCCTTAAGTCCAGTGGGCCACTGGTTCTCCCGGCTGATGATTTTGCAAAAGGCTGATTTGTCTGAAACTCTGAAGGTCCCAGTCCATTTTGGTGGCTGAGCTGTGATGACCCTGCCAAACACGGAATCCACTCCACTGAGGCGGATAGGCTGGGGCTTCCTGACCAGCCCTTTCTTGTTGTTCATGGTTCGGAGCTCTGATGTGTGGCAGGGTAACTTGGGACTCACCCCAGGCTCCAGAAATGGGCTGTCTAGGACTAGAGTAACCTCTTGAAAGCACAGCTGCACTTCAAGGTCAGAAGGGGTATGTGGGAAGCAGGGGGAAGCCCTAAAGGGATGCTTTGAAGAAGGTGTAGGTGTTGTGTGCCGCAGCCATTGGAAGCTCTCGTCCAGTGGGGTCCATGGTGACCAGAGCTGGTATCCTGCCATTGACAGTCCTAAAGAAGAGGAATCAGAACATGGAATTTCCCTAGCGTGGTTTGGGGGAGGGCACGGCTGTTTAAATTCACATTTATTTGTTTCATTATTGACTTTAACTTACTCTGTAGTTCTCCTTAACAGATTCCAATAGATGTTAAGGATACTAGTAATTCTATAAAGGGCAGTAGTGGATGGTAACAAGTATTGAATCTGGCAACTGCTATGTATACTAAAACTTTATTAAATCTTATCACAAGCCTCTGAAGGTAGGTTTTAACCTATTTTACAGGTGAGGAAATGGAATTGTCCAAAGTGGAATAATCCCAGTTCACTATTAGGACATATACTGTGTTGTTAACTGCTAAAGACAGAATCTACACCTCTGAGGTGACAGAGGCTGCTGGCACTTCATGATGAGACATTATTTGTGGTTAGAAGCTCAGAAAAGCCATGTCTTACTAAATATTTGTGACTCTAATTCCTGGTACTTCATACCAGTGGTTCTCAAAGTGTGATTCTGGCACTAGCAGCTTCAGCATCATCTGGAAATGTAGAAATGTACATTCTTGGGCCCTACTGGGAAACTGGGGGTAGGGCTTGCAATCTGCATTTAAACAAACCCTCCAGGGGATTCTGATGTACTCACAGTCTCAGAATTTCTTATGCCATCCCTTTTAAGGAACTTAAGGTTTTCGGTATTAGTTATGGAGACAGTCTCCTCTTGGCCCTAAAAACCTGTTTTCTGATGGGAACAGCTCTCTCAGAGCCCTGAGCTACTTATGTACCACCTCAGAAGAATTACACCAGGCTAAAAGGAAGAAAAGTTTCCAAAGGACAGTCTTAAAAATGGTTAAAGCTAATTCTTCTATGTGTGTTTTGTTTTGTTTTTGGTTTGTTATGGGCAACCTAGTGATTAAGATCTTGATTCTCCCCCCTCCCCCGGCCCCCGCCTTTGAAGAAAAACCAAAGGACTGGGAAGATGTTGCTAACTAACTATTTAAGTAGAATTTGGATTTTCCATCATTCTACTTTAAAACTGCCAATATATAAAAGGTTTTACTGAATTCAGAAGAAGCCAACATTTCTTGAGCACCTACCTATTATGGTAAGGGGCATAGCAGTTCCCTTTTCTTTCCAGCCAAGTATATTTCTCTGCCCCTTCTCTCTTCTCCCACAAAAGGTAACAGCAGCAGATCTGATCCCATCCCATCCAGTAATTGCCCAGGAAATGCTGTGAAAAGTTGACTCCTCCACCATAGTTTGTAAGACAGTAAAGTTCATTTTAAAAAAAGAGTTGATGACATTTCAAACCAGAAGACCTGTCCCTGACTGTGGGTAGCATAAAGGAGATTTGTTGTTTTCCTTCGACTGTTATGTCTCTCCTTATCTTTGTACACTCCTTCACATACTGTGTTCAAATATCTGGACTGCTTTAGGATGAAAAATTGACACTGAGAGGATGGTTATCTATTACAAACAGCCTATGAAAGTCTTCTGATGCTTGATATCATCACCCTGAGAGAATACATCCAAGATCAGGGCTGCTCTGGTACAGCACCATGGCAAGGTGGGGTGTGGAGGGTGTTAACTCCTCAGTATATGACCAAAAAGATTATTTAATCCCAGGATCCTTTTCCTGACTCCCCTCCTAAGAGCAAATAGGGCCAGACGTAAAAGGCTTTTTATCAAATGTCCCGCCTTAAGTACTGGACAGAACGAACGTGGGGATGAGAGAGGGCTTCTGATCCCAGATCTTTAAGCCACTTCCACCAAGTTTTAAATCAAGACGATTCACCCCTCTGCTCCCACCACCCAGAAATCACTGTCATCCACTCCAAGAGGGTTTGAACCTTGGAAGTCTGTTCAAGCTGCTTTAATAGCTCCCAGATAGGGAACACCTTGTACTCCTGGCCAAAAAGTCTTCCCTTTCATACTCTCCTCCCGTTCCAAGGAACCGAGTCCCTCGATTTCCCCACCTGAGAAAGGGGAAGTAAGCGTCCAAATGCAGCTGAGGTCCTCGTGAATTGTGATTCCGATCCTGATCCAGAGAGGCTGGAGCTACCAGGAGTGGGGAGGCTCCCCGTCCCAGCGGGAAGAAGGGGCTTGTCCCCTGGGGATCCCTAACCGGGGGTGGAGGTCAGACGTCTCTGGCCGAAGCGGAGGTGGCGGTGGGAGCCCGGGCCCGGTCCCACCATCCGGGCCGGGGGCTCACCTGCTGAACTCCGCGGGCCGCACGCTCCAGAGTGGCGGCCGCTGTTTCCTGGCCGCATCTTTTCTCCACTGGGCGCCTGGCAACCGCCTTTGTGACCCTGGGCCGCGGGAGTAGCCCGAGCCGCCGCGGGGGTGGGGGCTCGAGGCGCCCGGCTGGCAGGCTTCAGGGCCGAATGCCCGACCCCCACCTCCTTGGAACGCCCAGTCCAGCACTCCGCCTTCAGGAATGTGGGTTCGAATCCCGTCCTCTCCGTTCCGCCGCCTCCTCCTCCCTACCCCGCCACACCTGTGTGCTTTTGAGCTAGTCAGGGCGGGCGGACACGCCCACTTCAAAGGGTGTGGTCAGGCCTACAGGAAAGTCCCCGAGCTTGTAGTTAGTGTTTAGTCTTGACTCCAAACTGTCCTCAGTGGGTATTCAGGCTCAAAGCTTTTATTGCTGCATTGGAATGATCCCAGCGCAAGGAGACAACTTAGAAATAAATGCTCGCTTCTCAAGAGCAGGAAGAAAGGCACATGTCTTCCCTTGACTGACCAAAAATTTTTTTCTGCCTCCTATTAAACCTCAAAAAAAACAGTGCTGTCCTCTTCTCACAAAGCTGAAAAACTGACCGTTTCACCATAGTAAAAGTGATTTGAGAACTTCGTAAGCGTCACTGCAATTTCCTTGGCAGGCTGAGGGAAGAGAGGTCTACCCAATTGACTCACTATATCCCCTGTGCCTGGCTATCCTGCAGCCCGGCAGTGTGAAGTATTTGTGGCAAGAATTAACTAATGGCCCCACCTGCCCTTACCTTGTACACCCAGAAATTGCCCTTGCACTTTGCCAACTGTAGAGCACAGCACACATAAGAGCTATCACCTTTCGTCTGGCTCGTTGGGTGAAGCTGAACGGGAGAGATGGGGGCCGTGGGGGCGGACTCAGGCTAAAGACCCTGATTTGGAAGACCAGATGGTTTTGAGGGACTTGTCGAGAATTGTCAGATGGGGTGTGTGTGTGTGTGTGTTGCACCCTGTGGAAGGAGAAGTGGAGAGTTTGGAAGCGAAGTCAGAAAATGAAGAGGGGGCAGAGAGTGATGAGTCTTGGAAGACAGTGAAATGATTTGAATTGCAAAACTTTGTTTTCCAGTAAGTTTATTTTTATTTTCATCTCAGATAAAAGAGACTGTTATTTAAAAAGCAAACAAAACAGTTTTTATTGCACAGTTGGGGTTTTTAAATGAAAGTCCCAAAAGCAAAATTGTATAATTACAAGTTTTTGGATAGAGAGGGCTTCGTGCTGTTATGACAATCTGTACCACAGTCCTCTGTGCAGTCTGCCAGCTCTCAGGGATCTATTTTTGGAGGTACCATTTGCTTTACCTCTGGCTCTGATACTCCAGTTCCATGGCTACCACACAGATATGGAAAACTGGAATCTCCCATACTACCTGTTACTGATGACCTACAACATCAACTTTGTCTGTATCATGCAGCTCTCAACATTCTGTGTGCACTGTCCCCAGGGATTGTCATGACACTAACCACATTTGCTCTGCCAAAAGATGATTCAGTTCTTTTCAAAGAAGCTAGCAACATTGCCATGGTGCACATGCTATATCCTTAGCCACGTAAATGATGGTCCAAGTGCACACGATTGCAAAAAAGATTCACATGACCATGCTTAATGCAATTGACACATTTCTTCAAGAATTTGTTCCACACTGATTATTACATGTGGAGTCATTGACAAGATTCCTCAAGTTCTGTGAAGCACATGACAGACCCAAAGTCAGGGAACTTGTTCTTTTATGCTGAGGCAATCTACCACCCAGAAGCACTCCTTGTTGCACCAGCAGCATTCCCAAAGGGCTTGCCTCTGTACCCATTGTAAACAGTTTCTGCAGTGAAGAACTACCACGCTGACAAACCCATACTGAAGGACTGCCTGACAGCAAGCTCCCTGAGGCATGTAGGAAAAAGCGCCAGAAGTCCAGAGGAATATTCTTCACTCTAGGACAGCACCATATCCTTGAGTTGTTTGGAATTACAGGGGAGATCCTAGAACAGGTGTATAGGAAGTCCAGCAAAAGGAGAAGAGCTGAGCCTGACTTATCTCATGGAAGGCCATTAATCATAAAAAACAAAATGTTGGATAGATATGTGTACTTAATTTTCTGCTTTCTGCATAAAAAGAAAATGTAAACTGATCATGAGTGCCTGCTTTGTGAAGAGTGAGGCACTGTGCTTAGTGTTCTATTTATTCTTTCTCACAGAATTCCAACAATCCTAATCCATCCATGTTGTTGTTCCTGTATTACACATGAAGAAAAAAAGTTCATAGGGGTGAAGTGACTCCTCACAGATAGATTTGTGATTTGAAACTGAGATGCCCTGCCTTTAAAGGAAAAGCAGATCTATCTGATTTCTCTGTGATGTGTGAGCAAGATACTACAACAGCATCACTTGGGAAGCAGGATCTTGAATGGCAGTTAGTCCTCTGGATACCTGGGGTTTGATATTTAGGGTTGATATTTATTATTTTAGTAACCATTTCTATGAATACGTAGGAGAGTTCAGAGGCCTTAGCTTGTTTTCAGATTGGTACAGTAAAAAGATATGGGAGTCTGGAATCAACTGGTGAAGATCCACCACTTAATTGACTGTCGGACCTTGAACTTCAGTTTTCTCATCTGTAAAATGAGAAGCCTCTTCCTGATTTCCTTTCACAGGGTTTGTGAGGGTTCAGTGAGGTAATAGCTATAAAAGCAGCTTTATAGCTTGTAAAATCTCATACCAGAGTAAAGGGCTGTTAGTAAGGATTTCTTCCCAGCTACTGCTAGAAGCAATCCGTTGAACATTTTTTTTAATAAAAGGCATGTATTGCACAAAGCAGATTGTAAAAATTCTCTTAAACAAAAATAAAATTGGGGCGCCTGGGTGGCTCAGTCTTTAAGTGTCTGCCTTCAGCTCAGGTCATGATCCTAGGGTCCTGGGATCGAGCCCTGTATCAGGCTCCCTTGCTCCGCAGGAGGCCTGCTTCTCCCTCTCCCACCCCCTCTGCTTGTGTTCCCTCTCTCACTATGTCTCTCTGTGTCAAATAAATAAAGATCTTTAAAAAAAAAAAAAATTGTCCATAATTCCACTACCTTAACAAACCAGACATTGGCATCTTTCATATACCCTTCTTGTCCTCAAGCAGACATAATTTTCATATAGTTGCAATTAAAGAGAATTTTGTCTTTTTTTCCCCTTCAGCTTATCATGTATGTTGTCATAGTGTTCATAATTACTATTTAAATGACTGCATGATATTGCCGTAGGAGGCTGTACCATTGTTTAGCCATCCCAACTATGGAGATATAGTTGTTTCGTTTTTTTAAATAGATAATGTTACAAAGAGCACCTTTGTGCTTAAAGTGTCTTTTTTTTTTTTTTCTTTTTCAACGATTTTCTCAATGAAATGATTAGGTCAAAAAAGTTTGAATTTTTTGACAGTTCTTGCTATCAACTTACAAATTTCCTAAAGGAGTTGTGCCAGTTTACAGTGCGACCAGCTATTTAGGGGCCTATCAATTTTCCCTCAGCCTCTCCATCACTGGGTATTATTGTTAAAAAAATAATAATAATACTAACGTTTTGTTTATTTGATGACTGCAAGGTGGGGAATCATGTTGTGTTGTTGAAAGCCATTTTCTTTTTTTTTTTTTAAAGATTTTTTACTTATTTATTTGACAGGGAGAGAGAGCACAAGCAGGGGGAGTGGGAGAGAGAGAAGCAGACTCCCCACTGAGCAAGGAGCCCGATGCGGGGCTCGATCCCAGGACCCTGGGACCATGACCTGAGCCGAAGGCAGACACTTAACGACTGAGCCACCCAGGCGCCCCTGAAAGCCATTTTCAAAATGAGTTGTATTTAATGTGGCTTAATTGGCTACGCCCAACTAATTGCTGACACAGACCACAACCTTAGTTTGGAGCAGCTGACGCAGCGAGTGTCTCGTGGTCAAGCGCCCCCTAACGACCAAAACCGTCCGCGATGGGGTATGTCGTGGGTAGGGGTGCCTCGGCGCGTGCGCACTCCATTTTCACCGTCGGGGTTTTTGCGACTTTTTTCAGGGGCGTGGGAGCAGAGCGAAAGGACTTGACATCGCGCAGGCGCATCACAATGCCCATGGATTCGTGGGTGCCAAGTAATGGGTGTGGGCTGGCGGCGCAGGCGCACTGGCCGGCTGGAGGGTCGGGGCGCCTGCGCAGTGGCTCCTCGTCAGGCGGCAGCCATGGCGGGTCAAGAGGATCCGGTACAGCGGGAGATTCACCAGGACTGGGCGAACCGGGAATACATAGAAGTCATCACCAGCAGCATCAAGAAAATCGCGGACTTTCTCAACTCGTTTGGTCAGCGGGCGAGCAAGGGGAGGTGGGGGTGGGTAGGAGGCCACTCAGGCAGTTTGGCGAGGGCGCTGAGAAGCTTTGAAGGGGCTTTCTCTGGGAGCCCTCGGCCCTAGCTGGTTTTCGCGTCCTCCGGACCCCACCTTCCCCCTCTCGCCCTGACCCTCAGCCTCCACTGGGCAGTCCCTGTGGGGTTCTCCTGCGCCAGGCTGAGCTCATCGGCTTCATTGCCCTCACCCCAGATCCATTAACAGGTCCTTCCTTTTCCCAGACTCTTCAGGCAGCTCCATCCACAGTCTTGTCTTCTCTTCGGTAGCCTCCCTGCTTCCTTTGTAACCCGCTACCATTCCCGTTCTCACTTTGCACTCAGAGTGCGCCTTTCCGAATGCAACCACAGCCGTGTCGCTGCCTTGTGTAAGTTTCTTGACGGTTCCTCATCATTTTCAGGATCTCTTAAGCGCCATACCTTTTAGTCGCCCATTTCTGTCTCCCGTTTTTGCTGCCCTGAGAGTGGTAGGAGATGAGGTCAGAGGTAAGGTCCAGATTATGTAAGGACATGGAGAGCCCTGTATTGCTGGTATCTAGCCGACAGTACGTGTTACTTCTGCTTCTAGCAAAATCTTTCCTAGGCATGGCCTGTTTGTAACAGTCTTCAATTCTTTCTGCTTTGTTCCGTATCCTTCTGGACAGCAAGCCTTAACAAAGACTCCCATCCCATGTTCTCCAAGTGTTTCTTTAACAGAACTGGGCGCTGGGTAGACTTACTTAAGCAATCACAAGGTGTAACGGTGACATCTAGTGATCTTTTTCCAACTAGTGTGCTTCTGTTCCACTAATTCAGCAACAAGCAATTAAGATTAAGTAGGGGAAACTGATGTATTAAAAAAAGATTTAAAATGAATTATTTTCCAGCCGGAGGACTGATGCATCCTAAGGAGTAAGGTAACAGAACATGAATTTTCTTGGAAAGCATCAGCAAGAGAGACCAGATCTCAGTACAAGGCTCTCAGGCACTCTGGAAGATACAGAATAGGAATCATTTCCTGCTTTCAAGGAATTTCTATCTTGAAGATGAAATAATGACAGTTTCAGAACATCGGTTTTGTATTAATCTATTTACTTATAAAGTGTATAAGACTATAATCTTAGTATGATGGATTTTCTCACCAGGGAATGAGGGTGAGGGTAGTATTAATGAGAGAATAGTATAAATATGTATGTCATTGATACATATTCACACACATAACTTGGTATAGAGGTTGTAATAGGGAACGGTGGTCAACAAACATAGATCTCATAGTATCTTGAAATAGTTTGACTCTGAGTGAAGGAGTATGGTTTAGTGAAAAAGAGATGGATTTGGAGACAGGAGCCTCAAGTTCAGAGGCTAGATTAATTGATTTCAGTGAACTGAAGACATTAAGAAACACTGAACCTATTTACCCTGCTATTCAGATAGTCTGGTTTCCTCAGAGAGTTTTTCTTTTCCTCAGTTCTGTGCAAACTTTTTTGATGTTCTCATAATTGGTTTCTCCTGCTTTTCTGGAGAGCTGAACTATTATTGGAGGTTGTTCACAGCATTCTTTACTCATAACGTTCCTTTAGAGGAAGGGCCAGAGAAGAGAAACCAAAATACTGCATACTAGGGGAAGGATGGAATGATGAGAAGATCACAGCTTTGAGATTTGGCTTAGTCAGGAGAGGCAGTGGAAAGTAGTTGGAAAAATCACCAACATGGAGAGTTATAACCTTAAAAAGCAGAATTAAAAGACTTCACCTTTCTGGTAGGATCTGATATATATACACACAGACTATCCAAGTAAAGTATTAAGAACATCAGTTAAATCAGTAAAGCATCTAAAATAACAAGTCAAGGGGCTCCTCGTGGGTCATTCGGTTAAGCTTCTGACTCTTGGTTTTGGCTCCGGCTCTGGTAGTGATCTCAGTGTTGTGAGATGGAGCCCTGATTTGGGCTCCTGCTCAGTGCCGAGTCTGCTTGAGATTCTCTCTCCCTCTGCCCCTTCCACTCCTGTGTGCTCTCTGTCTCTCAAATAAGTGAATAAATCTTAAAAAAATAAAATAAGTTAAGCTGGGGCTGTTTTTCAAAATTTAAAAGTGATCTAGCATCTCAATCCCCCACATTTGGATCTGGGTAATGTAATAACTTCATTTCTGAACACTGAATTGTATTAATAAAGATTTATTTATTTATTTATTTATTTGAGAGAGAGAGAATGAGAGACAGAGAGCATGAGAGGGAGGAGGGTCAGAGGGAGAAGCAGACTCCCTGCTGAGCAGGGAGCCTGATGCGGGACTCGATCCCGGGACTCCAGGATCATGACCTGAGCCGAAGGCAGTCGCTTAACCAACTGAGCCACCCAGGCGCCCAAGAATAAATGGACATGGTAGCCACTCCTGAGAAATTTAGAATTCTGTTAGAGAAGTAAGCCTTAATGGCAACAATTCAAGAGAATGACAGTGTTGATTTTTGTAGGCTAAGGTTATGTGCATTAAGGGTTCAGAGGAGCTGATAACTGGCATTTGTCAGCAGTGGTAATGGATACACACCATCAAGCACCCTGACAAGGACAGTTAGTATCTTCATTTAAGTCTGGTGATAGGGGCGCCTGGGTGGCTCAGTCGGTTAAGCGTCTGCTTTCGGCTCTGGTCATGATCCCCGGGATTCCGGGATGGAGCCCCGCATTGGGCTCCCTGCTCAGTGGGGAGCCTGCTTCTCCTTCTCTCTGGCCCCTGCTCATGCTCGCGCTCTCTCTCTCAAATAAATAAGTAAAATCTTTAAAAAAAAATATAAGTCTGGTGATAATATACTCTTAAATGCACTCTGGTTTCAGATTTGTTCAGCTGCTGAATGCTTTCCCAGTGTTTTGCTTGAGTCAGTATGTATTCTTGGGATCTGAAATATGATCAAAGTTTCTGTAGTTCAACATTTTATATTTCTCAACAGTACTTATCCATTTAGGCCAGTAATATACTGTTGTTCTTAGATTCTGATTCATTACCAGATTGACAGAGCTAGAACAGAACAGCCATCCAGGAAGGAACCCTCCCTCTCACCACTCCACCCCTGCAGATAATTTTGGCACGTCTCTTTTTATGGGAAATGACAGGTTGTTAGTGATAACATTCATGCTCTTACTGAATAGCATACGTGATATGCCTTTGAGCTTCTAAAAACCAGATTGAAAGAGACGTGGTCCTGTTGGGCAGTCCTGGCAGTGGTGGAAGTGTATCTAGGAAAAAGAGGGTACTGAGTTCCTTCTACGCAAGCTAGATCTAGGAATTAGAAGAAGCAGCCTAGGAGATAAACAACACGATTTAAAAGAAAAATGAAGAATGTCCAGAATAGGTAAATCCACAGAGATAGATTAATGGTTTCCAGGGGTTGGGATGAGGCTGAATGGGAATGACTGCTAATTGGTACAAGGTTTCATGTAGGGATTATGAGGATGTTCTAAAATTAGATTATGATGATGGGTGCACAACTCTTTTCTAAAAACCATTGAATTGTATACTTCAAGTAAGTGAACTTCATGATATATACATTAATATATCAGTAAAGCTATTTTTTTTTAAAGATTTTTTACTTATTTATTTGACAG